GCTTCCCTTTAGATATCGTGCTGTGCCAAATTACTTTTCGGATATTAACTCTGAATATATTATTTGTGAAATTGAATCTGTCATAACAAAAGCTGCTGAAAAAAAATCATGTGAGGATTTAGACTCTTTGGGTATTGGTGCAGAGTAAGTCTCATTTCTTAATAATTAACTCCCTCCTTCTTTTGAATATAATTACATCTTTATGTAAAAAAAAAAAATAGAAAAGAATTGATGATTTTAAAATACCTTTTTATGGCGCGTAAGGCTATCATCTCATATAATTTTAAAGATTCGTCAATTTTTCTTTATACCGCAAAAACTATACTTACTTCTTGGAAAGGGATTTGCTCAAATCAAACTTACCCTGAGGTAACCCCCCTTACATTTGAAAGTTTCAATCCTGATATGATTATATCTTACTAATTATAATTACCTATAAACTTACGAACTAGAAATCAAATAAAAATGAAGAACCCGTTGGTCCATTTGTTGCTATCCAAAATTTCTTCACCGGTCAAGAAGTAAGTTATTGGACATACTATTATCTATAAGACGTTCGTTTAATTCTACACATACATTAATCAATCATCATAGAGACAAGCAAAGAATGTCAAACGTGGCAACGTGTCACCTAACAATATGCGATGGCTTGATAAATTTCTATCTAACCTCACCGCCAAAATGACATTATATTTCATGAATATTCTTTTAGAAAAAGAGAAAAAGATTGGGGGTGATTCTAAGACATTATGGAGAAAATTTTCAGATGATTATAATTACCAGGGATTGTAAATATAGTTATTCATATTTACCGAGTATTTTATTTACTTATATTCCGATTTATGTATTTAATTTGTTCGTTTAAACCTAGAATACGAAATTTTCGAGGTCGATCAGGAGCACACAGTATAGCTTTGTTATATGAAATTACTGATGATGCACCATTCCGTCGAGATGGGTATTCTTGTGTTACTACTCCATGTGAAAAACCAACTGGAATAGATTCTTTTCCTTGCATATACTCCTTCCCAGAGGTAATTTATGTTTGTTCATTTTATATTATTGACAAGAAAATTGATTAATTATGTCAATCATACTTTATATTAGGAGCAGCCAAAAGAACATTGGCAAAATATAATACCATTAATTCAAGGAAAAGATGAAAAGAAACAGACACCTTTCACAAGAAGTTTTCCAATACATTATTTTGATAAGAATACAGGTTGTGCTTATTATTTTATTCGAATTGATGATCATGCATTGTTAGTTGTTTTATTTACAGAAAAGCATTCATCACCTGATAATAGTACATCTGAATTTATCATGTTATTGGCTAACAGATTAAGTGGGATAGATGTTTTGATTAATTCACAAAAATTTGGAGAATAATGTATAAATTTTTTCTTTTTAATTTATTTTTGTATTAAAATAACATATGTAATATATACGTGTACAATATCTTATATGAGTTTGGTTCTTTGCCAATTACATTGTCTAAGGCATGCAATCCAGAATTGACAGATATATCGGTCACCATTTGCTGATGTACGCTTAAACTATGAAATTTTAAAGATTAGTTTTTTAAAAAGTTTTACTGCACTGACTATCACTTCATTTTCTTCGATAATCTGAAACAAATTATGGCATACGAAAAGACGTGTAAACAAAAAAGATCTATAACTAGGGTGAGGGCACGAGAAAATTTTTGGCATGTCTTGGACCAGAGGCATGCTTCCATAAATATATGGGTTTAAGTTAATAAAAATCAAGAAAATTTTTTCTAAATAAATTTTTTTTAAAACTTTAAACAATAACAAAAAATTAATCAAATTTAATAAAAATTTCTTAATAAATTTTACAAACTTATAAATTTATTTAAAAATTTTTATTAAATTTGATTAAGTTTTTGTTAAGTTATTGGTGTTTAAAGTTTAAAAAAAAATTCAATAAAATCAATTTGTTTGATTTTTACTAACTCGCCTCTATATATCAATATTATTCTTATTAATATTAACCAATCAGAAAACCTATTTGTTTAATATACTGTAATTTTTTAAATATTAAATCAAATGAGCATGTTTTTTAGTATCTGGGCATATTTAAAAGCTTTATGTTTTTACTTCACTCTATTGCTATCTAGAAAATTTTTGATAATATTTTTTACAAAAATTGTTTATCTTCTATCAATTAAAATTTAAAATCAGGTATAATGTATTATAAAAAATAAATGTAAGTATTCTTTATTAGAAACAAAAAAATAATTTTAATTATTTGTAATAAAAATTTATTTAAAAAATTATAAATATTTAAATAAATTTTAAAAAAATTTATTAATAATAAAATTAATTAAAAAATATTTTTTTTGACAATTTTTAATTAATAATACAGTATTAAAAAACTAAACACTATAAAAAGACTAGTAATAAACAATATTTTTGATTTATATAAAATAGGCTGTTATTAACAAAGATAAAAAGATATAAAATATCGAGAAAATATTAAAATCAAACTTTTTTCTAAATAAACTTTTCACTATGTTGAATATTCAAATTAAAAATATTATTTTGAAAACAATAAATAAAATCCTAGCCAAAAATATTAGAAACCTAAAGATAAATTATACAACTATAATATTTATAAAAAAACCTTGCTTATTTTATTAGTTTTTTTATTTTTTATTAAGAAAATTGTCAAAAAATAAATATATAGTTTATCTTTTTAAAGATTAATATATATATAAATAAAAAAACAGTTACTATTAATTTTTTCAAAATAGATTAATTATATCAAGATTTGATTATATATATTTTAGATTTTAGATAAAGTTAATAGTTTAAATTTTATTAAAGGTAAAAATATATTATCTCTTAATCTGTAGGCTTTTCTAAACAAATTTGTCTAGAAAATTATTATAAATATACTTATGATCTATATTTTTTAAATTTTAAAATATTTAAATAAAAAATTTTAATAATATTTAAAAATAAGAATTATATTATAGCAGTATTTAATTTTATTTGATAAGAAAAAAATTTAAGTTGCTTATAAGATAAAATACAATCAAACCCCTCTATAGTCACACCTTCAAGATACAAAAAACTTTGATTATAAAGAGATATGACTAATATAAAGGTATTTTCTATATAGTCATAAATAATTGATAAAAA